TTTTACCAACGCCAGGTCTGACATTCACATGGTTTCCTCTTCCTCTGCATGTTACTTCCCCAGCAACATCATTTCCACAAGGCACTGCACTTTTGTGTATCAGCCCTGTTTCCAAAGCCTACTTGTTGACAATCTGGATAGACCAATTAAGAATGTGTAGAACAAAGGGTTATAAAGGTATTTGGATAGCATCAAGTCCCTGCCCATTAATTATGCAGAAGCTGATTTCCAGACAGGTAATACAGCCAGTCAGAGACAAAACTGGGACTTGAGGCAAAGTTCTGTCAAGTCTAATATTCTTCCTACTACACAACATGCTTGATTGTATGATTGGCCTAAAAAGTTTAAGCGTATATGACTTATTTGGGCCAAATATATTATTTCAAGTCATTACCATGTTATGTTTTTTTAATAACAAGGTGAAAACAAAGTTGGCAATCAAGAGATAGCAGCATAAGGTAGTAGAAAGACAATATAAGCTTCATAGCAGGATAGCTTTAAATTTGATTTGGGCTCCCTAATTCACTAGCTATCTTATGTTGGGCAGGTTGCTTAACCTTTCTGAAGCTGTCACTACCTGACAGTACAAAGAATTAGAGCAGTGGTATGTATAAAGCATCTGACATATAGTAGATGCTCAAGATATATGGGTTCCCGCTAATTCTAACCTACCACAAAAGAGCTGTGCCACTCAAGCAAGTTCCTTTAGGCCTTTGGGTCTTGTCTCCTCCATTGCAAATTGAGAAGATGAAAGAAACCAAATGAATTTCTATGTCCCTTTTAGCTCATCAAAAAATAATTAGTTCCCAAAGGTTCCTTTACTTTAACTTCAACACTTAAGTACCTTATATCCATCCTAAGCACTGAACAGTACCAACTACCACCAGGAAGATATCTATGATTTCAGCAGAATGGGATCCAACTCCATATCACTTTAAGTTCCACAAAGAAAAATAACAATGCAAAACCAAGGGACTTAAAGGAAAATTTCTACAAAGACATCACAAACCTAATGTAATAAATATAAACAACTGAGGATATACCTTAAATTATTACTCTCTCTTTTGCTGAGTTGGAAGATGAGAACTAAAATATTTATGCTATATAACAAATGACCTAAGAGACATTTGATTAGAGTAATGCCATTTTTTGAAAAAAAAATGAGTAATAAATTTCTCTTCCTATGTGAGTCTTTTTTAAAAAGATTTATTTATTTATTATTTGGGGGGGGAGCACCAGGAGAGTCAAGCAGACTCCCTGCTAAATGCAGAGCCCAACACAAGGCTCAATCCCATGACCCTGAGATCATGACCTGAGCAAAAGCAAGAGTGGGGAGGCCCAATGGATTGAGACACGCCCCCCAATGTGAGTCTTAAACTAGGCTTTGAAATTTAAGATACTTTTATCATTTGGAAACCGAGGGGAATAAAATTTACTCTGAGAGGTATTTTACAGTCACATTAATATAAGAAAGTGGTTAACCATGTTCTCACATTACTTTCGAATTTCATGTTTGGGATTTACGTTCTCTAAAAAATAAAATATAATTTAAATGCTTCAATCTTATAAACAAGACCTGAGAAAATACTAACTGATCTTAAATGAAAATTTTAACTACAAAATTTTTCTTCCTTTTCTCTTCCATAAGAAAATTATCAATGTGATTTTCATTACAGATAAGGCTTTTTGCAAATAACATTGTGGATGTTCAAAATACATTTAAAATCATATATAGAGCTCTTTTTTTTAAGGTTCTTTTTTAAAGATTTTATTTATTTATTTGGCAGAGAGAGAGACAGTGAGAGAGGGAACACAAGCGGGGGGAGTGGGAGAGGGAGAAGCAGGCTTCCCACTGAGCAGGGAGCCCGATGCGAGGCTCGATCCCAGGACCCTGGGATCATGACCTGAGCTGAAGGCAGGTGCTTAACAACTGAGCCACCCAGGCACCCCCATATGAAGAGCTGTTAATCATGGTTTCCCAAAAATTCATTTGAGGTTTGCCCTGTACCGTGCCTGTACAGTATTATTCACCTATATTATAGAATTTTAGAATGTACATCTTAGATCATAAAACACCACCACCATCAACAACAACAACAACAAAAAACCTTTGCCTTATATGAGTAGGAAGAGACAGGAAAGACCCATTTAAATATTATCTCAAATGTGTGAAATAAACAATATAGTATTTCTTAATTCAACCACTGTGTTCTATGAGCTGATTCTTTTTTTGTCCTAAAATGTGATGAAGAGTAAACTCTGTTTCCCAGCATGCACTGTATGCAAAGGTTAAGAGAGCCACAGAAATATGATTTAGGTCTATATGTATCAAGCATAGTGTGAACCAGAGATAGAAGGCCTGGATCCTGCTTTTGTCATTACTATAAAATTGATTTGTGATTTCTACAAGTCACTTCACCTTTTTAGTTCTGTCTCTTTACCTATGAAACAACAGGAGGATCCACTTGATCTCTTTAAGATTTCTTCCAGTTCCTATAATTAACATCTGTGCAAATCCTCAGTACAGCATTTGAGGGGCACGAGACATGGGGCAAAGCACTCACAGGAGTGCACTTATTCTGCTCTCCATACATACTGCGAGGATGAACCAGCTTTTCAGAGAGCCAAATAGTAAATGGCCTGGCTTCATGCCTTGGCTAAAGAACACCATTGATGACTATGAAAGCACTTAAAGAAACTTAGCCAGAGGAAACAAACCACTTTCTGAATGTAGTCCAAAAAGTAGGTAGGGGGCGTGTAAGCCCTCACAACCTGAGACCCTTTGTGTCCTTGGCCTTTCATCCTGGCTGGCAGAAGGCACTGAGTTTATTTAGGTGACTCACGCTTTCTTAGCCTTAAGAGAAATTATTCTGAAAATGAATGGCTCTCCTCCCTGATCCCGCATCTGACCCTTAAAAATACATATATTTTTATGCAGCAGCTATACTATATGCAGCATTCTTAGAACACCTTCATAAAATAGAGTTCAGCACAGTGACTAAAAGTATGAAAGGGGCTCAAATCCTGGCTCTACTACTTACCTGCTGTGGGATCTCAGGAAAAAAAGCTTAACCTCTCCCTGCTTCAGGTTCCTTTTCTGTAAAATAGGGAAACTAATAAAACCTAACTCATAGAGTTGTGACAATTAAGTAAGATAATGCATGCAAAGCGGTTACCACAGAATCTGACGAGAAAGTAAATGTTATTAGATACGTAGATAGATGACAGATACACAGATAACAGATGATAGATTAATCCTGGGAACTGGGTCTCCCTAAAAACACTTATCCGAAGGCCACAAACAATTTGCTGGCAGTGAATGGCATCTGCTGATCTTTCCTCTTCTGAGCAAACAACATGGCAAAGGCTCAAAGCTCGGCTCACCTCTTACTAATAGGATCCTGCAGAAATCAGGAGGAAATGAGATTATCCTGAAAGCAGGAAAGAGTTACTCTGGTTTAAGACAGGGTCTTTAAAAGAGATAGAAACACATGCACACATGCACACATGCACACACACACACATTTAATATAGTCATACAGAATCAGAGAAACTGTTTTTGTTTGTTTGTTTTTTGTTTTGTTTTTTGTATATGCCTTCTCAAGTGTTGCTGGCCTTAAAAGCTACAAAATTTTATAGCTAGATGGCTCCCTGGAGACCATCTAGTTCAACTCCCTCACTTGGTAGGTAAGTAGCTGAGGCCCAGAGAGGTTAAGCAACTTACTGGGGGACATCCAGCTGTAAATGACAGTGCCAAGACAAGCTTTCTGATTTCCCCTTTTGCCCACCCAGTACTCAGCCTGGTATCTTTCAAAAGCTCAGCACGCTGTCCTTGTTGTGCCAAACAGAGCATTAAGGTGCATGCACACACACACCCTCAGGTTTCTCACTTTTCTTTAAGTTCCCAAAAAGTACAGAAGCAACCTCAACCACCAAGACCTTCTTGCCAGAGCCTCCCATCATGGAAACTGAGGAGGATCCCAGTCAATCTGTGGCCCTCTCCCAGGCTGTCTTTGGAGTTTCTACTCTTCCCTTCGCGTTCCTTCCTCACAACCATTCTAAAGTGCTATTTCTTAGACATTCCTCACCAAAAAGGTCAGGCATGTCCCAGGACAGAAATTGCCCTGCTAATTTGCAAATTCTTCATCTCCCCACAAATGCTATACTTTTAGACAGGAAATACAGAAGAACTGTGATTAAATTTCCAACAAGCTCCCCCAGTGAATTCAGTCAGAACTAATGCCGTCCTCCCTAAGATAACTCAATCAGGTTCACTTATAAAGTGTGTGAGTAGGTGAAGGACTGGAGAACCCTCAGGTATGCCTGACACAGAGAACAGGAGGAAGAGGGGAAGGAAAGGAGACTGGGGGGAAGAAGGAGATGGGAAGGAGGAGGAGCACACTGACCAAACTGCAAAGTCTGGATCCTGGAAACAGCCAAGCTGCTGAGACTGACTCACTGCTGAGGGGATAGAACTGCAGAGGGGATGTACTGTGTTAATCATACCCCCTCTGGTAACTAACAGCAGACTGGTGCCCCGAACTACACACATAGGAAGCAGGCAGAGGCTATCCCTAAGTGGCATAAACGAGGAACTCTGTCTTCCTCTTGCTCCCTTTTCTCTCATCCAGCGCTGGCCACTCCATGCCTGGCGGGCACACCCAAGCTCTCCAGCTTCCCTCAAATCACCCCCAGACTGGGAACTCCCCTCCTTGATCTCCTGAGGGTTTAAAAGAAGTGTAGGGCATCAGATATTTGAACTCTGCCAAATGCTCACCAGTCCCTTGCCCCTTGCAGGGAAACTGATCTGAGAGGAGCTTTCACTGAGATGAAAAAGGTAGGGCGCTTCTTGTCCCTAAGCACAGGCGCCGGCGAAAGGTGTCCCTCAGCCTGGGTCTCTGCTTTGAGGGTGGGAGGCATTAAGTGTCCCAGCCAAGTGTTCCTTCCCCAAGGTGAAACCAGAAGGAAGGCTTTGCTTTTGCCTTTTTTCCACTCCCTACCTGAATTCCGGGACCAGGTTAGGCTGCAACCCGTAGAAAGCAGCGGACAGAGTGACCAGCCACCCAGGCTTGTAACTCCCGTTCTCGCACTCCAGATAAGGCGGAGACCACTTGACGTGGCTCTTGTCCCCGCCAAGCCCGTCCCTGCGCCGCCAGCTATGGCCCAGGCTCCGGGGCCCCTGATTGGAGCCGCGGCGGTGTAAGTGGGTCCTCCACTTGCGCCGCAGGCCGTGGAACCACTCGGTCTCCAGCGTGGCGTTGGCCAGGTGGTGTGCCGAGGAGGACAGGTCCTGGAGCAGGATGCGGCTCTCTTCGCGGGTGGCCTGGAGGAAAACCTGCGGGGCCGGCGCGGACAGCGACTCGGTGCTGAAGGTGATGGCTGCCCGGGAAATGCTGGGCTCGCCCTCCAGGAGACTCCGCACCAGTGCCTGGTACCACTCCAGGTCGTCCTGCAAGTTCTGCTCCCTCGACTTATTGCTCTGCAGCATCATGTTGAGGAAGTTAGTGGCGTGTGTCAGCGTGTCCAGCGCCCCGTGCAAGGAGGGATGGGAGCTGGCTAGGGCTGACGACTTCCCCAGCAGGCCCGCCAACTCGTAGCGGCCGGAGCAGTTGGCTCGCTTCAGCTGGTGGGAGTCCCCGGTGTAGAGGTAAGAGGCCACGTCCATGGGCACCTCCTCGGCGAGTTTCTGCGCCAAGATGGTGCCGTCAGTGGAGCGGCTCCAGGGAGCCGAGGGGTCCGAGGCAAAGGCTCGAGTCGGCTGCTGCGCGTGCTGCTTCAGCCTCAGGGTTCTCTCACGAGGGGAATCCAGCCGTCCCAGAGGGTCGCGGCTGGTGCTAACAGTTCCCAATCCCAGATGAGCGAGCAGGAGGCAGAAAAGTAAGGGATAAGCCATGGCTCCCATCTGCTTCGCAGACACGAAAGGAGGTAACGGGAGACACTTTTTAAAAATTTGGTCGTCAGTTTATCAACAGTAAGACTTTTACTAGGAGACGGCTCCCTTCTCCAGATGGCACCCAGTCGAAAGGGACTTTAAAATAAGAGTGTTTCGGAATTGGCCCAGCTGGTTAAGCTACCGTCACAGGAAATCAAATCACCTGTGGCAACGCCGGCTGCACCCGCTCCATAATGGGTCGGCTCGGGATTACGCACCTCACAGCCTTGAGCCGAACAGGTCACATCCCCTCTCGCTCCCGGCGGCTATAGTTAGCCTGCTTACGTCTTTCTGCTCAGCAGCTTCCACCGTCGCTCTCATTGAGGTGTGTTCAAGAGCTGCTGCCGCTGCTGCCGCCGCGGCCGCCAAAGACGCTGCTCCATCATCTCACCCGTGGCAGGTCGTTCCCGCCTCCCGGCGCTGGCTCCTCCTCGTTCGCTTCGTCCGGAGGCACGGAGTGCGCGCACACAGATCCGCACCGCGAGCGCAGTACTGAGTCCCGGAGAGCGAAGATTTCTTTTAAGACGTTTGTCTCTCTGGAGTTTATAGGACCAGGCAACTGGTTAATTGGAGCCCTCAGGTCTGGCCACAAACCACACTCCTGTCTCCCCCTGCTCTGGAGGAAAGCCGGTTTAAAGAGGCAGCTTGGCCGCAACCAAACCCTTGAGGGACAGCCCCAAGCCGTCTAGTTCTCTGTTTGGTCGGCTCCTCTGTCAATCAGCCGACTGCCATTTGTTGGGCTGGGGCGGGAGCTGTCCAGTACTGAACCCGAGGCGGCACGGAGGAGGCGCAGGAGGAGGCGGTGGCTCGGGATGCAGCAGCGCGGAGTCCTTTCACCCCCTCGCGTTCCCTGATGACTCGGAAACCCGAGGGGTTGGGGGAGGGGTGGGCGGGAGTGAAGGGAGAAGCAGCGCGTTTGTGGCTCAGAGAGAAGGAAACTTGGACGTACTGAAGAGGAGGGTGTTGGCGTCTTGCATGCTTAGTTAAATCAGCCTTTTCTTTTGCCTGGAAAAGAGGGAGAAAGGAGTTTTCATTTCTGACTTAAATCGAAGGGGAGGGACGTAGGATGGAGACGTGTCCTCCCGAGCATCTGCTCATTTTGGGCAAATTATCAAATCCTCCTCCTTATTGTCGGTTAAAGAAATGATTAAAGCCGGCTTGCCGAGGTCTTAGCTATGAGGGAGTAATGGAGACATCTACCGGCTGAGCTTCAAGAAAAAAAATACCATATTTAAGGAACCTCTGCCTGAAAGGGAGCCCGGTTGGAGGGGAACCTGTGAAAGTGTATGGAAGTGAATATGTGAAGGGAGAGACATGTACTAGGGGTAGGACTCAGATGTGAGAGAATGAGAATGACTGAGTCTGTATTGAGTGAGGAGGGAAGTCATTCTGACTGGGAGTTTCTAGAGTTAATGGTGTAAGAACTAAGATATCCAGTTACCTATAGGTTGGGATATCCCAGCAGAAAAAAGAAGAGATACAGAATATTAATATGTATAATAATAATTAGCCGAATAATATGCCAAGCCCCCCCCCCCATTGTTGGGAAATCCTTTAACAGAGTCTAATTGTTTTACTTGAAACTTTAAGGATGTCTTCTGATACTCTGAAGATACTAATTACTACTGGATATGTAGCGTTTTATGCATCTCCACTTTCCACAGGCACCTCTGTTTTCAAATTCCCCAAGAAAGATACAAATAATCCCAAATTCATTTCAGTTCCCAGCCAACAAAAATGTCGCTGGTGGCATTTTAAGATAGCACTGCTTAGATTTATCATTTCATTTCATTCTCCCTATTGAGAAAATACGTGAGCACTGAAATATAAATTCCAAAGAGGAAATGGTTGTCTGTATTGGTCACTATAATATCTTGAGCACCTAGAACACACAGAACTGCCTGGTACATAGTAGGTTCTCACTAAATATTTGCTAAATTAATGAATGAACTAGAAGATCATGATGATGAAGCTAATTATTTAAAAATTCATATCCTTACCTAAGAAGAAAAGTCTGCCTGATATGCCAGTGACAAGGACTTTTGGAATGAAACATAGTAATGAGTTTTCCAAACTACAGCATATGGTCTTCAAGTGAATTTTTATACCTATGCAAAGAATGGTTACTAGATTTATACTTATTTACAAGTAGATTTAATGTTCATATCCGGCTTTTTGTTTAAATTTTGCTTTGCAGTGTGTACTCCTTTGCTAAATAAATGTCATTCCAGTTTAATGCTCTACTATAGCATATGTGGCAGTAATAACAGGAGGAGTTTCTGTTTGTTTAATATATCAGAGTATACAATATGATTTTCAATCTATATAACCAGCTAAGGACTGAAATGTAATTTCCTCATTAATGGATATTCTTAGAAAACATACACAATTTATTAACAGTTCTTTAAAATTGTCCAGTATGGCATTTAAAAAAAGAGGATATAATTTTATTAGTAGGTCCCTCTATAAGTAATTAAATGACTGAGCATAATTAAAAGATTTGGGTTCTGGTACCAACATTCTTCTAAACAAGATTTATGATCACTGGCAAGACATTTAAAGTTTCTGTGTCTTAGGACAGCCAGCCAGCCCTCCCCTAGCTAACATCTATCAAGAAAAGAACACAAAAATAAGCACAAAAAGGCTTCTGCAATTTTAGCATTTCCTTCAGTGGTTCACCTTCAGTCTATACTGCCAAATAACTGAGGTAGACTAGTTGGGTCTAGAACAGCACTGCCAAAAATAGAAATATAATGTGAGCCACAAATGTGATTCATATATATAATCTTAAATGTTCCAGTAGCACATTTAAAAAGTAAAAGAAAAAAGTAAAATTAATTTTAATAATATATTTTATTTAGCCCAATATGTCCAAAATAATATTTCAATAAGTAAATAATATAACAATCATTAGTGAGATATTTTACATTTTATACTAAATATTCAAAATCCAGTGTATATTTTACACCCACAACACATGGCATTTCACACTAGTCACATTTCCAGTGCTCAATAACCACTTGTGACCAGAGGCTACCATAGAATACAAGCTCAAGAAGATAGTACATTGTGGTCCTGAATGTTCTAGAAAGCCTAGGTACACACAAGATAAGGTACCATGGTCCAAATGCTCTAGGAGGTCTGGTCCATTTAATAAGTTTGAAGTCAAGGGTGCCTGGGTGGCTCAGTTGGTTGAGCGACTGCCTTCGGCTCGGGTCATGGTCCTGGAGTCCCGGGATCGAGACCCACATCGGGGTCCCTGCTCGGCGGGGAGTCTGCTTCTCCCTCTGACCCTCCCCCCTCTCATGTGCTCTCTCTCTCATTCTTTCTCTCAAATAAATAAATAAAATCTTTAAAAAAAAATAAGTTTGAAGTCAAGGTAACTGAGTAGTAGACAACCCTTTGTCAATGTCAGTGTCCATCAATGAAGGAAATAATCCAAAAGAGTTTTTTATAAGAGACCAAGATTTAACACATCTTCATACATCTCTAAACAAATTACAAAATTCCACATCAACTCACAAAGACATCATTCACTCAACAGGTGTTGATTGAGGTTCTACTATTTATCAGTCATTAGGCTTGCTATTGTCTCCACAATAGACACATGGACCCTACAATCAAGTGTGTAGAGAGAGGGATAATAAAAAAGCAAACAAAATAAGAAATTACATATAGTGGTAAGTGCCATGAAGAAATAAACACTGTAAAGTGATAAAACCTGCAGGGTATGGGGGCAGGGACCTTCTTATATAAACAAATAAAGAAAAGAAAGACTTCTATGAAAAGGTAACAATTGAGCTGAGACTTTAAGAATGAGGAGCAGTTAACTAGGTGGTAGATCATAGTGAACTAGCCAAAGGTAAAATGGAAAGAAACTTACCTCAGTTAGAGGGAGTAATATATGAGTACACTAAGACTACAAATATTCCATTCTTGACAGGAAAGAGGGCTGGAAGAAAATAACTTCAATAATCTGAAGTTCATATGTAATATACCAAGTACAAACAATGAGGACAAAAAGAAAATCATTTTATAAAATAATCAAGTGATTCTGGAATGAATAGCACCCCTCCCCTACCCCCACCACCACACTAATTAGGTGAATGTAATTTGTACATATAGATAAATACCCCTGTGTGGCCTCAAAATTAAGAATGAAGTTGTCCAAAAACATGTTGATACCATGTAGAAGCTTGACCGTAATGGAACAATGCATACGAGACCCGTCAGCCCTCTGCAAAAAGGCCCAAAGCTTTTTCATCACAGCCTGAGAAGCCAATCTAATTGCCTGAGAATGATGAAATGTGCACTGATGAAAAAGCAATATGCAATGGAGTCATGAGTTATTAGTCATATGACTGATTTACCAATATTATAAAAAAGATGTGATGTCTGCATATCTGTGTGTGTGTGTGTGTGTGTGTGTGATGTTTGCATATCTTTAAGAAAAAGAAATTAAAGGAGGTCAAAAACTGCTGAAACCAGATTTTATGTGAGCAGTATAGCTAGATTATTTTAAAAAAATTTAAGTGCTGCTTTAAATCGTTTAAATCAGCAAGGATTAGGAGAGTGGGATATAGTGAAAGGACACTTTCCAAGAACTCATCATTCTAGATTTACAAGGTAAATGGTATTTTTAGATTAAATAATGATGGATCTCAGTAAACAAAGTGGCACAGATTCCTGATAAAGCAAATAAAACTACAAAAGGACAGCACAGTCTGTCGATATGACACAAATTCAGAAATCCAGTTCTTATTCCTGGTCTTACAGAGATTCTGGATTTCCCTAAGCATATGCTACCCTGTGCCTCATGTGCCCATTTGCAAAATGAAGATCATAGTCTTTGTTCTCCAAGAGCAGTAGTTTTGAAATTTCTAGGTGTAGAAATATCACTAGAGAATTCTGAATATCACTGTGGGTCTGAGCAGAACTTGAGAATCTGCATTTTAATAAGCACCACGGGT